AAAAAAAAAAAAAAACAAGGTTGACCAACGTTGAAAATCAAACTCGTCACGCTTTAAAATATTTACTCGTCCTCGTCAGTTTCGCTTTGGTGGTTCTGTTATCCACCGAAGGTCTCAGAGGCGAGAAGGTCAGCTCGGCGTCTATTCGTTGGTACCAGCGAGTCCTAATTCGCTCGGCGAACTTTCCCCGTAAATAAATTTTTAACGAGATACACGCACGGTACCGGGGCGCAGGTCGCTGCCTCGTACGAGTTTTACGACTCGACGGCTGCTTATTTCTGGTAATTAACTCCTCTACACGGAGCCACTTGTTCCCGGGAGTTGAGCCGACGCGCTTACAACACCGTTTTTGCCCTATGAAATTTCTTCGCCGCCGGTTTTTTCCTTTCTTCGCCCGTGTACCGCGACTCGTCGGCCAACGCCGTGTAATTTTACAACGAAATCCTTTCAGTGTTAATCGTTCTTACTGCGCCGTTGGACCGAACCGGTATTTCTCGACGAATTCATGATTTTTTTCTGAAAATATCTCCTTATCTCCATTTTTTTCTTTTTTTCTTCAAATCTCGCCGTGAATTTTTTGGCAATACAGTTTCACACTCTACGTTTGAAAATTATTATTTTGAAGAATTTGTTTTTTCTTTTTTTTTTTCTTTGTTAGAGGAAACGAAACGCGTAGAAGTTAGGAAGACCATTAAGCAAATGGGGCAAGGGACAGGTTGAACTGAAGGAGAGAGATTGATTGTTTAGACACCGACAGAGGAAGGAAGGGGATCCCTGTGGAGGAGGCATTTAAGAGAGTGATTAGAGGAAAGGCTTGTTGTGAAGGAGCGACAGGAGGAAAGAAAACACAGGGCCGAGATTACAAGACACGTTCGAACAAACATGCCAGTCTTCGTAATTCAAGTGTAGTTAGTAAAAATAAAGCGAGAGATTGGACAGACCACTTGTGCCCTGTGACTCAACCGAAACCATAACACGTTCCCCGCTGCGTTGTCCGTTAACAGGAATTGGATTACTCTCGAACGCTTAATTGAAGAAAGGGTGAAATTTCCATTAAAACCGAACGCGAATCATCTGGGTGCGCAGAATGCAAAAATGCGTACAGAGTATGCTTGTCACGACATTTAGTAACTGAAGCTACACTTCCTTAAGCGTGTAAATATATAGAATTACATCAAGATTGTATTATATTCTACATAGAGCAAGATTTCAAAAGGAACAATGACTTTCTCGAGTAAATCAGTTTCGTTACGCTATTCTTTTAATTAATTACGTTCCAAAATATCCTTATTTCTCAGAAAAATGTACGACGCGAAGTCTGTCATACGTCATCGTTCGAAAAGCAAATTTTTTGGGGAATGTAATGCACAGGTAATAAATCCCAACTATCAGAAAAAAGAAAAAATGGCAAAGAAGATCTCGTAACCCATAATTGATAAAACAAATCGAGCGACGTTTTTAGAGCGATTACGATCGTTTACACGCAGATATCAGCTCCCATTCTGCCCGTCCTATCGACGAAATGATCCCGCAGGAACAACGAAGGGACCTTCGGTAAGAGAAGGCTGGTTCGATACCCGTATTTATAGACATCCTGGAAAAGAGCAGCGAAACGAGAGAAGAAGAAGTAAGTTATGCGACGTTTGGCCCGCCCCAGCCACTCATTCGGCGACCATAACTCTCGTCGGAGTGACAGCTCCGAACGGAAGGGTGTGTGCCGCCCTCCGTCCGCGAGAAGAGGGAAATTGAACGCCTTTCGCAGCCCCACCTCGCGAGTTTCCCTCTTCTCCAACGCCATCTGGCCCTCCTTTTTCCTCTCTTAACAGCGTCGCTGTCAAATTGATAACCGTTTCGCTCGACGTCTTCTTCACGAGCCCTGTCAGCTTCCGGAGAGAGAGAAGTCGAAACGAACCTCGGCGAATTCTCGTCGCGAAACCAGACATCCTCCCGCGAGAGAGCGGCGTCGTCTCCGCGACAAGTTGATTTCGTCGATTTAAATAATTTATGCGACACCCTTGCAACCACCGGGAGGGGTGGAGAAACGAAAACAAGAATTACGCGGGATCGTTGCGAATCGAGCGGGCATCAGTGAAGATTTGTTGCCTCCGTTGCCGGCCGCGAGCACGATATTAAGCGAATTAGTGGGAGGGAAACGGTGGATTTTCGTTGGCGAAAGAACTGGAAAACAGAGGCCGGAGAATCGGCCGAAAGTCAGGCGAACAGCAGAGATTTTCTATCTCGGCGGATTTAATAATTCCGCCTCGGCCCGCCTTTGTTAACTCTACAATTATTATTAATGACGATGTACGAGAGGGTCGCGGTCGTGGCCAACGCCGGCTGTTGATCCTCCCTTCTCTGTCCTGCTTCGTTCGTTTCTCTCTTTCCCCTTGTGGCCTTCTCTCTCCCCCTTCTCCGCCTCTTGCACCGGGCGTGAATGTAAATTAATTACTCCCCGGGCATTTCGCGAAAAACATATTAAGCGCCCCACCTTATTACGGCACGATATTACAGCATAAATCATGACTCACTTACGGATTACTATTTTTCACAGCGGGTGGAGCGCGGCGCCCACCCGTCCTCCCCCCGCATCTTTGGCTAATCGAAACGCCGAAATCTCCCGGACTAAATCCGCCAGCGAATAACCGTTAATGGATTCTGGAATGAAGATAAGGCTCGCCTTATCCTGTCGCGTATTATTCCTTATCTGTCCCCTGCACTTAACCCTTTGCACGCGGAATGCCAGCTCAGCTGACGTGTGTTACATCGATGCGTGCTGCAACAACTCGGACTACCAGCTGTGCATTGTACGTTGCACGTTGTGTCTGATGAATTCGGATTGTCAATAATTATC